ACTGGACAGTAAGTTACTTACTTATTAAGCTTAAGCGGAATTACAAAAACTCGATGTTGCAGATGTTGTTGCAGTGATACTTGTCACTGCAGACGTAGTAGATGAGGCTGTATGTGATGTTGTAAATCGAAGCCTACAGTAAATAAGAACTACAGCAAATCACTTGAAGTTAAGGTCTTTCTATCCGTTAAGTTACACATGTCGTAAATTGTTTCTAAGCAATCCTTGAAAAAAAACAAGGCATCAAAACTCTTACTACCGGGGACATACAAGACATACTATGGCATACAAAAATCTTACAAAAAAAATCTTACAAAAATCTTACTTACTTTTGGCATTTGCTATTGCTCAAGCTATCCCCGAGTATCTCCGCTATTTTCCAGCCAGTGATTACGGAGAGAGTTTCGATTTTTTTTGCGATGAAAAAAGATCGGAAGTCCTGACGAACAGTAACACTGCTGGTCATTCAGATCATTGTGAAGTGACCGGTGACTTACATCGAACGCATATTCCGAGTCAATTATCTTTTCGCTGATGATGTTGCGTGCCGTATGCGTGTCCGATTCGTCATCGTTTTCGATGTACTTCTGCTCCTCAGCTTCCACGTTTTGCATTATCGCTGTTGCTGCTGCTGCTACTGCTACTGCTGCTGGGTCTCCGTAACCGTGAAAATGTTTCTTCGGTTTTGGCGTTTCCATCACTAAATACATCCCCCTGTAGTGACAACTTAAATCTGGTGTATCCTGTCATTGTTTAAGGTTTGCATTTTCAAAACATTTTTGAAAATCTTGCTTTTTTTGTGCAATTGTTCTGTATAGAATCTGCATAATACCTGCATAAATTCTATAAAACCTCTCTTTGTATGACTGTTTGGTTACATGATTTTTTTGTGAATTTCTTCTAAAAAAAAGTTACCTGAGGCATCAGGCTTTTTTAAGTAAGGTTTACCTAATGTGAAATAAGGTTTCCCTAATTTTAAGTAAGGTTCCCCTAATTGTTAACATGTCAAGATTCGGCGATAGCAAAGATGGATGTCCTTTCCAATGAAAAAGATTCCAAGCACTATTAAATCACCAGGGTAGCTGGGCGGTGAGCATGTGCTCCAGTTCTGATAGGATGTACACCACCTGCTACGCTGCTACGTCAGGATCTTTTTTGCACAGAGCTCCAACAGCTAAGAGTGATGCGCAAGCTTTGGTAGTATAATGGATAACATGTCACGGATCGGAGAATCCGGAAATAGTGAAGAGATTCGATTTTCTTCCAATTCATATCGTTTGGGATAAAAGTTTGTTCAGAAACAGTACTTCCGAAGTTATTGAAATAGTAAACATGCAGTTGTAAAAATTGGAATTTTATCCCAA